TGTTGTAACCCTAGCTATTCAAGTAACTGAGATCTGAGGATCCAGATTCAAACAGTCCAGGCAAGATCAGTCCACAAGACCCTTATCTCCAATTAACAGAAATGGAGCTATGATTCAAATGGTGGCGCACTAGCCTTCAGCAAAAAAAGCTGAGGGGCAGTGCCATATCCCTGAGTTCAAGCCCAAGACCAGCCAAAAAAGAAAAAAAGTCTTTCACGTTTTTTTGTGTGTCATCTGTGGGGCTATAACTCAAGGCCTGGGCACTGTCCCTGAGCCTCTTCGTGCTAAAGGCTAGTACTCTAACACTTGAGCTACAGAAAAAGCCACTTCCACCTTTTTCTGAGTAATTTAAGAGTCTCACAGACGTTCCTCCTGTCCCAGCTAGCTTTGAACCATGATCCTGAGTAGCTAGGATTACAGGCATGAGCCACTAGCACCTGGCTAAGATTTCTCTTTATCTGCTGATACCCGGGGGTTTGAACACAGGGTTGCTAGCTCAGCTACCGTCACACATCTCAGCCACAGCTTCTTTGCTATTTTTGGAAATGGAGTCTAGCAGACTTTTCTCCTAGTCTGGCTTCAAACCACATGATTCTCCAGCTCTCAGCCTTTTGTTGGTGGTGGTGGTGGTTGTGGTGCCTGAACTCAAGGCCTGGGCGCTGTCCCTCAGCTCTTCAGCTCAAGGCTAGTTCTCTACCACTTGAGCCACAGCACCATTTCCAGCTTTTTCTGCTTATGTGGAGCTGAGGAATTGAACGCAGGGCCTCACGCATGCAAAGCAAGCACTCTACCACTGAGCCACCTTCCCAGCCCGCTCTCAGCCTTCTGAGTGGCTAGGATTACAGATGTGAGCCATCAGTACTAAGCCAAAATGTCTTTTTTTCATGAATTTTATCTAAGTAGTTGTACAAAGGAGTTCCAATTCACAAATTTAAAAAAAAAAAATTAAGAGCAGGGTGCTGGTGGCTCACGCCTGTAATCCTAGCTACTCGGGAGGCTGAGATCTGAGGATCATGGTTCAAAGCCAGCCCAGGCTGAAAAGTCCGAGACTCTTATCTCCAATAAACCACTAGAAAACCGTAAGTGGTGCTGTGGCTCAAGCGGTAGAGCGCTCACCTTGAGCTGAAGAGCACAGGGATAGCGCCCAAGCTGAGTTAAGCCCTACAACCGACCAAAAAAAAAAAAAAAATTAGCCAGACACTCGTGCCACCAGTCTGTGAGACTCTCATCTCACATAAGCTACTCAGAAAAAGCTGGAAGTGGCACTGTGGTTCAAGTGCTAGCTAGCCAGGAGCAAAAGAAGCTCAAGGGCAGCACCCAGGCCCTAGGTCAAGCCCTAGGGCAGGCAAAAAAATAAAAATCAATCAATCGATCAAACTGGACTTCTCAACACCAACAAAGAAAACAATGGAAGACAGGGAGCCATGACTTCAAAGTGACTTCCATCCATCAGGAGGCTGAGATCTCTTGAGAGTCCCAGTTCAAAGCCAGCTCTGGCAGGCAGCAAAGACAGAGATACTTATCTCCTAATAATAATCAAAAAGCTGGAAGTTAAGCCAATTACTGGTGGTGGTTAATGCCTATAATCCTAGCTATTCAGGAGGCTGAGATCAGAGGATCACAGTTAGGAAAGTCTGGAAGATTCTTTTTTTTTTTTTTTTTTTTGGTAGGTCGTAGGGCTTGAACTCTGGGCCTGGGCACTGTCCCTCAACTATTCATCTCAAGGCAATCTTTCTACCACAGTGTCACTTCCGGTTTTCTGGTGGTTACTTGGAAATAAAGAGTCTTGTGGACTCTGCTGCTGCCTGGGCAGGCTTTGAACTGTGATCCTCAGATCTCAACCTCCTGAGTACCTAGGATTACAGGCGGAAGACACCAGTGCCCAGCTGTCTGGGAGATTCTTAATTCCAAGAAACTACTCAGAAGCCAGGCGCTGGTGGCTCACACCTGTAATCCTACCTACTCAAAAGGCCGAGATCTGAGGATCACTGTTCAAAGCCAGCCCTGGCAGGAAAGTCCGTGAGACTCCAATAAACCACCAGAAAACCAGAAGTGGCACTGTGGCTCAAGCGGTAAAGCACTCACCTTGAGCTGAAGAGCACAGGGACAGGGCCCAAGCCCAGAGTTCAAGCCCCACAAACAACCAAAAAGAAAAAAAAAGAAACTACTCAGAAAAAGCTGAAGTGGAGCTGTGGTCCAAGTGGTAAAACACTAGCCTTGAGCACAGAGAAGCTCAGGAACAGTACCTAGGCTCTGGGTTCACGCCCCAGGACCAGCACCCCAAAAAAGAAAAACCAGGCGCCGGTGGTTCACACCTATAATCCTAGCTACTCAGAAGGCTAAGATATGAGGACCACGGTTCAAAGCCAGTCCAGGCAAGAAACTCAGAGAGACTCTTATCTCCAATAAACCACCAGAAAACCAGAAGTGGCGCAGTGGCGCGTGGTAGAGCACTTGCCTTGAGCTGAAGAGCTGAGGGACAGTGCCCAAGCCCAGAGTTAAAGCCCCAGGACTGACCAAAAAAAAAAAAAAAAAAGAATGCTGGAAGTGGAGGTGTGGTAGAGTACCAGTCTTAATGAAAAAAAGACAAGGGAAGTTCACACCTGTAATCCTAGCTACTCAGTAGACAGATTTGAGTATTACGGTTCCTAGCCAGCCCCAGCAGATAAGTCCCTGAGACTTTTTTTTTGGGGGGAGGGGAGGGTTAGTCATGGAGCTTAAACTAAGAGCCTGGGCACTGTCCGTAAGCTCTTTCACTCAAGGCTAGCACTCTACCACTTTGAGCCACAGCACCACTTCAGGGTTTTCTGATGGTTAACTGGAGGTAAGTCTCACAGCTGGGCACTGGTGACACACACCTGTGATCTAGTATGAAGTCAGGCCTGGCAAGAAGTATGAGAGTCTTAAACTAACCACCAGAAAACCGGAAGTGGTGCTGTGGCTCAAGTGGTAGAGCACTAGCCTTGTGCTGAAGAGCCGAGGGTCAGCCCCCAGGCCCAGAATTCAAGACCCATGACAGACCAAAAAAAAAAAAAAGTCTCTCACAGAAGGCCGGGATGTAGCTCAGTGGCAAAGCACTTGTCCAGCAAGTGCAACATCCTGTGTTCGATCCCCAGTACCAAAAAAGAAACGACAAATATATGCACACACATATATGTACATATGTGTATGTGTGTATACACACACACACACACAGTTTTAAAAAAAAGTCTCAGAACTTTCCTGCTCAGGTTGACTTCTTCCAATCATGATCCTCAGATCTCAGCCTCCTGAGTAGCTAGGATTACAGGTTTGAGCCACTAGAGCCCAGCTGATACTATTTTTAAAAGCAAGAGATACAGAGTAGCGACACTGTAGGACAAGTACAGAAGGAATTGCTAGTAAAGGCCATGTGCTAGGACAAAAGCCTCGTGCACCACACCAGACTCTGCCTCAGTGATCCCGGACATATATTTAAAACCCAGGAGTGAAGTCCCCACTTATAATCTACAAAACTGGAGGAATATCTCAGTCACTCTCTGTCTCAATAGCTCAGAGTGAAAATGTGTTGACCATCTTTGTAGGTCAAGAGAAAAAAGAACAAGTATGTAGTTCCAAGTGTCTGCTCTGCTGGGTTAATCATTCTGAAATTAATGAACCCTCACTACCAAGCATTTCCCAGATTCAGTGAAAATGACCTGTCTATTCCCTTCCGAGGGGGTCAGCAATGCTGCACTGCAGACAAGCGGACCTTACCCCATCATCAGCACTTGGAATCACAACTCTAGAAAGATCTTTAAACTGACCACAAGTATAAGGTGTTATCACGCGTGGCTCAGTGGCTAGAATATCTCATCTTCATCTTCTCTGCCACAAACTTTAACTCTGTTTCCTCATCCAAAAGAGAGGAGATAACAGGATCTACTGCCTGAGACTATCAGGGCTGGGAGTGGGGCTCAGGGGTAGAGTGCTGGCCTCGCGTGCACAAGGCCCTGGGTTCGATTCCTCAGCACCATATAAGCATAAAGAGCCGGAAGTGGCGCTGTGGCTCAAGCGGTAGAGCGCCCGCCTTGAGCTGAGGGACAGCGCCCAGGACCCGAGTTCAAGCCCCAGGACCCGCCAAAAAGGAAAACACCATGAGGACTAGGAGTGACTCCACACAAAGTCCCAGCACAGCCGGCCCAGGCCGGCTCCACGCACGCAGGGCGTCCTTCCTGCCCCGCGGCCCGCGGCCCAGCGCGGACGGCCCGACCCGCAGCGGGCGGCCACGTTCCGCCGCCGCGGCCGGGCCCCGCGGCCCCTCGCGCTCGGCCGAGGAACTACCGAGGTAACTTCGCCGTCCGCGCGGCGGGCGCGCGGGGCGCGGCGTTTCCGCGGTGCCGAACGGGGCTCGGGCGCCCACCGGGGCGCGCGCGGGCCCGGGCGGGCCGCGAGGGCGAGCGCCGCGCAGCCGGGCCCCCGCTCGGCCCCCGCGGGCCGCCGGCCCGGCCTGGCCGCCGCCGAACAAAGGCGGCGAGCGCCGCGCGCGAGGGAAACTTGGGCGGCCGGCGCCGGGGCAGCGCCCGCCGGGCGGCGGCGCCTTTGTGCGGCGCGGGCGCGGGCGGCGCGCCGGGACCGACAACTTTTCCGCAAAGATGGAGCCCCGCTCCGCTCCGAGCGAAAGGTCAGGGCGCGGGCCCGCCTCGCCCCGCCTCGCCCGCCGCCGCCGCCGCCGCGCCGCCCCAACTTCCCGGCCGCACTTTCCCTTTTGTCTCCGGCGCCCGGCGGCCGGGCCCGCGCGGCGCGGCGCCGACCCGCCGGCGCCCACCGCCCGCCGCCGGGCCCGCCGCGCACAAAGCGCTCCGGCGGCGCGCGGGCCGGGCCGGGGCCTCGGCGCGGCCTGGCCGGAGCAGCGGGGTCGCGCGGCCCCGCCGCGCCCGCCGCCGCGCCCGCCCCCCGCCCCCGCGCCGCCGCCGCCGCCGCCGCCGCCGCCGCCACCGCCGGCCGTCGCCCCCGCGCCGCCCGTCAGCCCCGCGCCTCACCTCAGCATCGGCGGCGGCCATGGCCCGGGCCCGCAGCGTGGCCCCGCCCCTCCCGCGCGCCATGGCCCCGCCCGCGCCTCGCGGCCTAGAGACGGGGAGGGGCCGGCGCTCCGCGCCTGAGCTTGCGCTTGCGCGCGCGCCTGCGCACTAGCGCTGGGCTGCGCGGCGTCTGCGCGCGGAGCGGCCGGGGGGCGCCTGCGTGCTAGACTTCCGCCCGGCGTCCCAGGCCTCGGGCGCGCGGGGCGGATGTCCGGCCGAGCTGGAGTCGCCGGGAGAGGCGGCGGCGCGGTGGCCTGTCTGCCTGTGAATGCCGTCCCGACCGCCTCCTCGGCCTGGCTTCCTTCTCGCGCAGTGCCTGCCACCCAAAAGCGTTGCAGGAGGAGCCCTCTTGGTCGGTCGTGGGGCTTGAGCTCGGGGCCTGGCGCTGTCCCGCGGCGGCACTTCCGGTCGGCTGGTGTTGACTGGAGATGAGAGTCTCGTGGACTTTCCTGCCGGGCTGGCTTCGAACCGCGCTCCGCAGATCTCAGCCCGGCCAGAAAGAACACCTACCTGCGGGGTGCCGCGCCCCCGCACACCCGGCCGTCCGCACGGTGAGCGCGCCCCGCACGCCCGGGCTGAGCGCCCCCCGCACGCCCGGGCCGGGCTCCCCCCCGCACGCCCGGGCCGAGCGCCCCCCGCACGCCCGGCCCGGGCTCCGCTCCCCCCCCGCACGCCCGGGCCGAGCTCCCCCCCGCACGCCCGGGCCGGGCTCCCCCCCGCACGCCCGGGCCGGGCTCCCCCCCGCACGCCCGGGCCGGGCTCCCCCCCGCACGCCCGGGCCGGGCTCCCCCCCGCACGCCCGGGCCGGGCGCCCCCCGCACGCCCGGGCCGGGCTCCCCCCCCGCACGCCCGGGCCGAGCGCCCCCCGCACGCCCGGGCCGACCTCCCCCCCGCACGCCCGGGCCGACCTCCCCCCCGCACGCCCGGGCCGACCTCCCCCCCGCACGCCCGGGCCGAGCTGCCCCCCGCACGCCCGGGCCGAGCGCCCCCCGCACGCCCGGGCCGGGCTCCCCCCCCGCACGCCCGGGCCGGGCTCCCCCCCGCACGCCCGGGCCGGGCTGTCCCCCGCACGCCCGGGCCGAGCGCCCCCCGCACGCCCAGGCCGGCCGCCCGGTGAGCGAGCCCCGCACACCCCGGCCGTCCGCACGGTGAGCGAGCCCCGCACACCCCGGCCGTCCTCACGGTGAGCGCGCCCCGCACGCCCGGGCTGAGCTCCTCCCGCACACCCCGGCCGAGCTCCCCCCGCACACCCGGCCGTCCGCACGGTGAGCGCGCCCCGCACGCCCGGGCTGAGCGCGCCCCGCACGCCCCGGCCGTATGCACGGTGAGTTTGGACGCAGGTATTAGACCGAGGACCAAGCACTGTCCGCCGCAGGCGTGGCTGTTGGACCAGGGTCTCAGTCTTTTAGGACAGGGCTTCATGGGGAGCAGGAGCAGGGCGCTGTGGCCTGGCATGACCTCATTCTGGGAGAGTTTGCATAAAGCTTAGTCCACACCCAGGCTCCACACAGTTGAGGTGGAATTAGCCCATACCCAGGTTAGAAAGCTGAATCCCACTCAAGCAGGACTGATCTCTCCAGTGTTCTTTTTTTTTTTTTTTTGGGTCCAGTCGTGGGGCCTGAACTCTGGGCCTGGGCGCTGTTCCTCAGCTCTTCAGCTCGAGGCTAGCGCTCCACCACTTGAGCCACAGCACCACTTCAGGCTTTTTTCTTTTTGCTTATGTGGTGCTGAGGAATCGAACCCAGGGCTTTGAGCATGCAAGGGGAGCGCTCTACCACTGAGCCACCTTCCCAGCCCTCCAGTGTTCTGCTATATGTTGGGAGAGGCCTTCTTTACTCCCAGTCCTTTCTGGGCTCTCACAGTTTCCATGTATCAGGTCTGGCCATTTCGCTATATAACATAGAGCTGTAATGAACAGAAAAAAGAGGTGTAGGACAGGGAAGGTGGCTTAGTGGTAGGGTGCTTGCTCAGGGACAATGCCCAGGCCCTGAGTTGAAGACCCAGGACTGGCAAGAAAGAAACAAACCAACAAACAGGTGTATTAGTTGGTGTAGACATGCCATGGGAAGAGAGTATTTCAAAATAGTCATCTTCAGTCATCTTGGCCTTACAAGCCCTGTGCAGACACCTCACTCACCTCCCTACCTCTTGGCTCAATTTCAGCCCAGTATCTGTGTTACCTAGGTAACTTGCACACCTAGAAGCAGTCACCTCCCCTCCTGCTAGGTCATATCCTGGGCCTTCTCTGGTCACACCTCCCATCTGACCATAGGAGGGTCCCAGGCCCCGAGGTCATATCCAGATCCACTGTGACCTTCTCTTTCCCCTACCTGGCCACACCTCTCCCTGGCTTAGATAAGTCCTGGCCCTGGGCTGAATCACCCTGTTTTCAGCCATGCCTCTTCACCATACATGGCATGGTATTCTCTTCATCAGCTACCTAATGAAACCTATTTAAATAGACAAAGCGTTAAGTGGCGCTGTGTCTCAAGTGGTAAAGCACTAGCCTTGAGCTGAAGAGCTGAGGGACAGCGCCCAGGCCCAGAGTTCAAGCCCCACGACTGACCAAAAAAAAAAAGTGTTACAGTAGGGGTAAAAGGTGTACATAGTCTGTTTGGGAAGTATTCAGAAGTTGTTACCACTGGTCCTGGGGAGGCTCTGATGTTTCCTAACTTGGGGAAAATTTCCTCCATCCTCTCCTTGTAAGCAAGTTTTGGGTAAGTCATGTTCTTCCTGGATTCCAGGGTGACAGTGAATTGCTTAGACAAAGACATGTATAATGGAGGCAAGAAAATCAAGTTTTTCTCTTGCTTTCGTTTTAGTTAATTCATGGACCCAAGTAAGGAGTTAGTCCCTTGTAGGGAAAGTAGCTTATAAGCACTTGATAGAACTTAAAGGACAAAACTGTGGGATATCCTTGGATGAAATGCAGTGTTAGAGTTACCTGTATAGCCAGGTATTGTGGTATATACCTATAACGCTAGCATCAGGAAACTGAGATAGGAAGACCTCAAGTTCAAGACCAGCTTCAGTTAAATAAAACTTTGTCTCAAAAAAAAAAAAATGAATTCGGGGCTGGGAAGATGGCTCAGTAGTAGAGCACTTGCCTTGCATGTATGAGGCCCTGGGTTCGATTCCTCAGCACCACATAAGCAAAAAGAAAAAAGCCGGAAATGTTGCTGTGGCTCAAGTGGTAGAGGGCTAGCCTTGAGCTGAAGAGCTGAGGGACAGCGCCCAGGCCCAGAGTTCAGGCTCCCCCCCCAAAAAAAAATGAATTCATCTGTATGGTCACTTCTTCTAAGCTAAGAATATAATATTCCAAAAAGTTTTAAGAAAACACTGGGTGCTGGATGGCTCACATCTGTAATTCTAGCTACTCAGGAGGCTGAGACACGAGGATCATAGTTCGAAGCCAGCCAGAGTAGGAAAGTCCATGAGATCTTAACTCCTATTAACCATCAAAAAGCCAGAAGTAAAACTGTGGCTTCAGTGGCATAATGCCAGCCTGGAAGGAAAAAGCTCAGGGCTAGTGCCCAGTCCAGAATTCAAGCTCCCTCGCAAAAGAAAAAGCAAAACTGAGCCGGGTGCTGGTGGCTCACACCCATAATCCTAGCTACTCAGGAGGCTAAGATTGAGGATCACGGTTCAAAGCCAGCCCAGGCAAAGAAAGTCCTTGAGACTCTTATCTCCAATGACCACCAGAAAACGAAGTGGCGCTGTGGCTTAAGTGGTAGAGCACTTGCCTTGAGCTGAAGACCTGAGGGACAGTGTCCAGGCCCATAGTTCAAGCCCTACAACCGACTGGAAGAAAGAAAAAATGGATTGTACATATGTCTGAAGTGCTAAACCATTCGTGTAACAAGTTCGAAGCCGAGAGTTCAAACTTCAGCACTAAAAAGAAAAAAATGGGGGTAAGAGAAACTGCATTCGTGTATTTTTTATTACAATATATTGTAATGTTCTACTTTTTATTAGTGTTCTTGATCTCTTCCTGTATCTAGTTTATAAGTTAAACTTCATCATATGTGGGCGGGATTGGTGGTACTGGGCTACACTTTACCATATGCATAAAACAAAATTGGGACTATAATAGAGGATTTAGTCTGCAGGTGCTCTCATTTTAAACTGAATCCCACATCCCAGCAAGCTGATGAAGGTGAAGAACCTGAGGCTTGTAGGTTGATCCCACCTGCCCTTACAGGGCTACTCAGAAGGCTGAGAGCTGAGGATTGAGGTTTGAAACCTGCCTAGGCAGAAAAGTCTGTGAGATGATTATCTCCAGTTTAACCAACAAAAGCCAGAAGTGGAGGTGTCACTCAAGAGGCAGAATGTGCCAGCCTCGAGCAGAAAAAAAAAAAAAACAAGAGCAGAGCACTAGCCCTTGAGTTCAAGCCCCAGTACCAATAAACACACATATACCCAAAACAAAACAAAAACCCACAACCTATGACTCAACTCCTGACTTCCAACCCCAGAAACTGAGATTTCCTTGCCTTTCATGCCAGCTGAGAGGTGAGGATGGAGGCCGCCTGGTCTGGGGCTAGGGTTGCCACTAGTTAGAAGGAATGCTTCAGCTGGGGAGAGGGATCCCAGTTAGGAGCCAGTTCCAATCTGAGGAGTATGGTTAGGAAAGGTGTCACTGCCAGGTTGGGAGGGCAGGCAGGCAGAGGGGCTTCCCCTGGGGGAGGGGGGTCTCAGCAGGACAAAGAGCCTCTGTTGAGAGCAGCCCTGGGGTTTGGGGGTTTTGAAATATTTTTATTGTTGTCTTAAAGGTGATATACAGTGGGGTTACCTCTACGTATATTAGGTGATAGGTACATTTCTTTCCTTTTGCTTCGCATCAGCTGTTCCCTCCTCTCCTCTTGTTTGCTCCTGCCCATCACTGCCCTTGAGTTGCTCTTGAGTCACATTCGTCCATGTCCGGCACCACTGAGGAACCCTTCTGAGCTTTTTCACCGCTGATTCTGTGCCCTCCCACCTTGCCTCCAATGTGTGCGCGTGCCCCTGTTGG